ATATATATATAAAGACAATTGTCAGCCAAATAGATTCATGGCAGTTAAGGCTCTACAATTTTGAGACAAACTGCAAGATAGTGACTAGCCATGTGATCAGCTGTACACATTAGAAGATTTCATTTCGCGAAAAACTCATACCCACAGATATAAAGCTAGGTGGGTTACAAGCAGTCAAAGACAATGAAACTATAGTTCTTCCTTATGCTACTATGGATATAACAAATCTGTGCAGTACATGCACTTTTGAATAACCTCTATAACATTGACCCTTGCATGATACTGGCTAATAAATAAAGTCCAATGTGGTGCATTTAGCCGTTCAAGGCCATGAGTACAAACTATCACACATGTGCAATCAAATCTGGACTTTCCTTCTTTCTACTCAGCAATTAAATTTCTCACCAGCTAGTTTTGCATTAAGACACATCTTCTGGAAACTAAATTTTAAATGCTGAAAATAATTAATAAATGATTGTTAGTTATAAGAGTGTTTCTTACTAAAACTACCTACACTAAGGAACAGCATATCCAATTTGCTATTCCATAAACATAGTGTTGTTTTTATGGCCATTAGAATGTCCACACTGCATTGTTCATCATTCAAACATAGAAACTTAAACATATGTTCATTTTTTGTATTCCCGTGAAAATCATCTCAAAAACAAATGCCTCAAAATCTTTCATTTTCAAAACAAAATGCCTTTATATGCAATAAATCATTTAATTCAAAAAAGGTTTTGAAGAAATTATAAAAACTAGTCATGCTTTGGATGTTACTGCACATTAAATGTGAAATATTTTGGAATAAAGGAAAAGTGACTCAACTTTTAGATCCTTATTCTAACTTTTTCTGATCTCTACAGAAAAATAGCTAATGAAATATATAATGATAAGAAGTATGGTCTTTCGTATAAATGATAAGAAGTGGTATACTGCATCATCATGTGGAAATTAACCCAAAGCATAATAGAATGCATTTACAGTCCTTGTAATTATGAATACAATGTACGCGTACAATGAACTTATCAATCATACTTCTCTTATCTATAAATTTTTCTGACTGGTCACCCTAACAGGTTAATTTAAAACAAATGTAGTCTTTGCAGTTTTCCGAATGTTATTTATCAAAAATTTCTGCTCGGAAACAGCATATTGGTTTTAAAGTATCATGGATAATATTAAATAGTACTTTAACCAATCAAGGATTATATTAAATGGCATTTTTTTTCCTGGAAAACTGTATTATAGTAAATTATGTTTTAGCCGTTAGTTCTGTTTTAGTTTAAAATAAGCCGAGTATTTTACTTTTATTTATTTATTTTCATCTGTAAATATTCATTGTATTTTGTGCACTCACAACCTCTAGTTACAACCACATTATAGTTGGAAATCCAGAGTTCATTATACCATCATCAATCATTGACTTTAAATATATTTTAAATCTGCTTGTTAACAAAATAAAATTTAATGCATAAACAATAAAATTAACCATCATGAATAAAATTATATAGATAAAAAAAAAGTTAACTAAAAAGTAAAATAAAATTGTAGCGGCTGTAAATTGTGTTAGCTAGAAAACCATGAAAGTCCGAGGCAGGAGGATTGAGGTTTGGGTTGAAGGCCGGAGGTGAGAAGATCAAACAGGGTAGTTCCTATGTGGAAGGATACTTGCGGACGAACACTACCGATAACCACTGCTGGGAGTGAACAGTCTTCTCTCCGCTATATAAGGAATTGATACTTTGCCACCAGGGTTGTTGCAGCTTGAGGAATCTTGTCCCGATGCTTCATTTTCGCCGGTGACGCCCACCCTCAGAGGAGATGCTTGCTATCGACCAGTTTAAGTTTTTAATCATTCTTATTAACCAGTTTTAAAATGCTTTCATGAATAACCTTTTGGAGTTTGTTTGTTGTAAGATTGTTAACTTTATATTAAAGAATGGTGTTCCAGTGTACTAGTATTTTTATTTGACATCTTCCAAGCTACCACTAACAATCATAAATAATCCTTAATTATTTTTTTTAAAAAAAATTACATCCATTTCTAGAGTTTTTTCCCCCTCCTTTTTTTTCTTCCCTTCCCCAAGAAATACCAATAATTGGAATTCTTATGTAATTAATTCTAAATAAATAATTTTCAACAGATACTCACTCAGATTTTGCAGAACACTTTAGAAGCTCATCAATATAGACAGCTGTCATTCTCTGAGATTGAATAAGATCAACTGGAGTTTCACCAATGGTATTTTCAATGTTTGGATTAGCACCAGAGGACAGTAGCGTCCTTACAATATCCACATGATCAAGCTATTAAAAAAAACACACACACATCAAAATCAGAACAAATTACCACATTTAAAGATTTCCAGTATTACATTATACAAAGATTACTAAGTTAAGAAATTCTATTCTTCCTGCTCATTGATGTCATTTTATAACTGTCAGCCTAATTAAACCGTCATGGTAGAACTGCCAATCTAATTTTGAGTTTATAACTACCAATGTCCGTATCGTAGACTTGAAATTTTGAACCCAATCCAAAAGACAAGGGATCTCCTAGATCAAGTATTGGGAGGAATTTATCTTCAAAAAATACTCTTTTGATAGAAATAACTCACATTCATGGTACATGGAGGGGAAAACCACAAAACTTTCCACCACTGAGGATATTTTACGTCAGCACTATGGTCGGTGCGTGCCGGGTGTGGAACTCGTATCAACCAGCTCTTGCTGTCAATCGAACCCAGGGCACCCCATTGGATGGCAAGAGCTCTATCCCCTAAGCCACCAAAACTCACCTTTTAATATTAGTGAATATTTGATGTTTAAAAAGTCGATCATACTTTAGGGAGCCTCGATGGCTATGGGGACTGTTCACCTTCCAATGAGGTGAAGCGGGTTCAAATCCCAGTCGATACGAGTTCCGCATACGGCTTGCACTGACCACAGTGCTGACGTGAAATATCCTCAGTGATAGACGGATCATGGGTTAAGCCCCCTTGCCGTCCGTGGATAACCGTGGGAGGTTCTCGTGGTCTTCCTCTCCATGTTACACAAATGCGGGTTAGCTCCATCAAAAAGTCCTCCACGAAGGCAAATTTCTCCCAGTACTTGATCCAAGAGTTCCCTTGTCTTCTGAACTGTGTTCAAAATTACTAGGCTACAGAGTTGAACATTGGTAGTCGTAAACCATTAAAATTGGGATGGCTGTTCAACAACGGTTATAAAATAAAATAAAATCATACTTTAGGACAAGGGATCTTGTGTCACACATAAAAAGGCACAGTAGATTGCCTTGAAATGTGACAGGGATTTTTATGATTTCAAGCCTAACATTAATCCTTTAATAGTAATCTGTCATTAATCATAAGCATGGTTTTAAAAAAAACAGGCCTTTTTTTTTCTTTTTTTTTTAAAAAAAAACCCGACTCAGATGGGTTTCTTGGGGCTTTTTTCACACCTAATATTAATCCTTTAATAGTAATGTTATTAATCAGAAGCATGCACTGTGGGCCAGAAGACCATGATCTTTGGCCAAAAGTCAAAAATTAAATTTTCAACTAAAATATGTGTCGGCAGTTTTAATATAGCCCAAATTAAGTATTCATAATCATTCCAAAATTTTTCAATTTGTTGGATTAGTTAATATTCTTGACAAACTTATAGTTTATATCTTATCATTTGACATTTTACAATGTTTGAATGACTTTCGAAACTTAGTTCCAAAAAGTTCCACGAGGTAATTAGGTAAACCTTTTTTTGTTGTCTTCTTTGATGCTTCTTCTTTTGAAAAAACCTTTCCCATTTTGCCCGTATTGCAAAGGTGGACTAAATATACCGAAAAACAAAAATTACGTTTTTTTCGTAATTTGTGTTATTTTGTAATTAATTTGCGTTATTTTGTGATATTACTTCGGAAATATAATTTGCTTTTCATTTTTAATATAAAATTAAGAAAATTATATTTTCATTGCTATGTTTAATTATTTAAAAGTACTATATTACTTTTTTTATTTTTGCTTGTCATATTGTTTTTTATTTGGGTATTTTTAGTGCATTTCAAAATTTCAACTATGAATTCAATTTACTTGCACATAAAAAACCCCAAATTTTGAAACAAATTTTATCGAAATACTCATTTTGGCCACGAAACCTTGGATGCTGGCCCACTGTAGCATAGTTTAAAATAAAACAGGCTTTTTTTTCAAAAAAATCCAACCCAGATGGGTTTTTTAGAGCTTTTTGAAGTGGTAATGAATATTTTTAAATAGGAAAAATAACACTTTTTGGGTTTAAATTTTAATTTTAAAGAGAACAATTTTAGTTTAAAAGAACACATTTGCTGCAAAATAATAATTCAATAATCAATTAAAATAAAATAACAAGATTGAGGCAGGTTATGACGGGTTCCTAATTTATTTCTAATGAACAATGCTTTCCCTCGATAGACTTTTACCCAGAGCTCCAAAGTTGATGATCTATCAGGTATAGATCATAGGTCAGTAACCTCCTCTTAAGAGTTAGTATACAACCTTGGTAANTTAACGACATAATCGTTATCGTATCGGTGAGTGAAAAAGCGCTCCGTTGCTGACCATGTATTTTACTTGACCCTATGTCGTTCGCCGACAATCGGATCCGTTTTGTCGTTATCGTGTCGTGTAATGAAAAAGCGCCCTTAGTATACAACCTTGGTAATATTCACTCAAAAAAGTTTCTTTGAAAAAAAACTTTTCAGGATACTTAGCTAAAAAAGGTCAAATTTCTTTAAGAGAGTTAGAGGTAAAAGAATACATCTTAATGGTTAAACTATTCATAAACAATAATAAAGCAAAAATTTAACAGCTTTTTTTTTTATCATCAGCTGCAAAAATGAAACTAAATGCCAAGGAATAAATAGGTTACCCAGATGAAAAACTTATTAGCAGTTTTTTAAAAAAATATTCGGAAATATTTGATGGCATTACAAAAAGATATGAACTATGATTTACTTTTAAAAAATATAAGTACCTATTACACTAATGAAAATTGTCACATAATTATGTTTATATTGCAACTGAGAAATAACTTGCATCTGAATGACTAGAATAAAAAATTTATTTTCATAAAAAGTATGTAATTAACAAGTAAGTAAATATAATATGAAGGGATAATTACTTTTGTAGCAAGGTGTAAAAGTGTGCCAGATGGATTGCAAGCTTCTGATAGCAATTCATCACATGATATCTTAGGTATATTTGGAGTTGTGCCTAAAAATTAACAAAAAATATTTGTTTTAAAATCTTATTCAACATAATGAATAAACAATTTGGAAGATTTCAGTAACAGTTTTTGCATTACAACAATCGGCAAGTTTTGGTGACTAAAATTAAAAATTTATTAATATTTAAAAAAATAGGGTCGGGTAGTAACTTAACACTTCAGCAATTTGGCACAACTGCAGTTTTAGGGAATTAACCCCTTAACAATAATATTTCCTGAACGTGTTCTCCAGAATAATGTTAAAATTTTAAGAAGCTTTATCACTCAAATTATCATGATTTATTGTCGAAGATGGTTAACATTAACATACAATAATATACTTATAACAAGGGATGTAACGTATCTCACTTTGGCTAGATACAGAATACCAAATATCTAGCCTGACTTAGAGCAGGATATCTGATATCCAATAACAGTATTTGATATACAATAATAGTCCAGTTTCCTTTCCTTTTTTTTTAGGATAAACATTTAATAGCATGAGGATTAACTAATTTTATTTTCGTTCATATTTCTATTTCTTTTTTTAAAAAATACTTTAATTAAAGCAGATTAACGTTAAATTTACAAACAACTGTGATCTACGAATTATTCAGAAATAGTGGTGGATAAAACTCTACTAAATTGAATTTATTAAACCAAGAATCACAATTGATAAACTACCACTTTAAAATATTTATTTGCTGTCCGGGAGCAAGTTGGTATCTCTGGGAATATTCTTAAAACGGGGATATTTCCGTATCGTGATCTGCGGCAGAATAATGGCTAAGTTTAGGAAACTTCCGCGCAGTGGCCTGTGAGAAACTGAAAGAAACATCACAGAAAGGGACCAACGAGAAAGGTATAACTCGTAGCCACCCCCGGGCAAACATCTACATGTTTTCTTTTTTAAAAATTTGAAAGTTAAAAATCTATTTGGCACCTTGGCGAGCGTAGTTGGCGCTACAGATCACGATACGGAAATATCCCCCTTAAATCGAGTACTAAATATGCATTCTATGGAGCAAATTATTGACAAATTATGTATGATTGATTTCCTTAGCAATTATAGTTCAACGCACAAACATTTATACATATCTAAGTAAGCCTTTAAATTGTAAAAGATAGTTTTATCCAATTTTATCTAATGAGTTTCAATACGATTATCAAGTTATAATGCAAGATAAAAACATCAGAATTAGAACAGGAGTTCAATTTCGCCTCAAAAGAAAGCTCAAATAAAACTAGCGAAAAACACAATTGAATGCAAAGAAATTACAAAATTAGAAAATTCAATAATTTTGTGTAACCATACCATTTTCAAACACGCTTAATAATGTGCGAACAATATCTGTACGACCATTAGATACCGCAGAAGACAAATTGTCAATTAACTCTTTATTCATAATTGTTTAGAGTTCTATAAATTAGACTTTTGCAGATAAATTCATCTAACTCATGAAAACTTATAAAAAGAACTCTAAATCAGTTGTCCTTGGCAGTTCATAGCAATAAAATTTAAATTAAATATTCTTGTTGACACATTTGTTGTCAAAATAAACAACACGTCTCTACCAGGCGAAAAACAAAATTGGTTTAGTTGTCTACACAGTTGTCTATTTAATAGTAGCACCGGAAAGGATGAACCCGTTGTTGTTCATAATGTATTACAAATTTGAATACATTCTTATGAATAGAGAACTGATTCAACTCAAAAGTTTGAAAGATTTAGATGATGATGATGCTGACTTATGATTGACGGCTACTTTTGGAGCCCTTTACTGTTTCACGCTTGTAGCTCGCTTATCAATTGCTTAAGGATGAGTGGTTGTATGAATTTTACAGCAGATGGATAGCCTTTAAGAATTAGATGAAGGATTAAAATTTGTGGTCGTCTGCAGTGTCCATGAATGAGAATTAAGACAGGGCACTAGGAACAAGTTGTGTTCGAAGTACATTATACTCTGGTTCCAAAGTGGACACCCGAAGCGGGGGTGCCATCCCCTCGGCAGAGGATCAAAATTGTGATGGCATGTCTTCGGATCATCCTCAGGGATGTTTCCCAGACCGTCACCAATAACTCATTGTGCAGCTCTAGTGCGAAACAACATTAGTCATCAGGTGATAGTACAAATCGGTATAGCTTTTGCATTCGTCGGATATGTTCTAGTATGAATTCGAAAGAATATGACGCAGTCTTGATTTCTGCAGGAAAGTCTTGTTCTTTATTTATATGGGATGTTATGACTCGAGATTCTTTTTGTTCTAAATTACTTTGTTTTACAATACAACACTCAGAATATTAAGACGATTTACAAAAGATATTATTTGCATGTATGTTGGAAGTAAAATCGTACATCATTAAGATGAAAATCGTATTGGCGATCGAAATGGGCTGCAGGTGGCGTAGAGCAGAACTCATTTCCTATGGCAACACTTTACATGCTTTCCCCATTAGCGTGTGGAAAGTCAAAGAGGAAGGAAGTACGTTAGTTTCTCTCTTGATTTTCATATAGATTAAAATCTTTTAACTTGAAAAACTACATGGAACTGAAAACTACATTAAACATAGTTCTAAAGAAAAGTATCACGGAAATTTCAAAAAATATTTTTTTTAAGTAAAAAGGAAAAATATTAAGAAAAGGGAAAATATCGTAGTATATTCCTATATAACTGAAGAGAGGAGGAGAGGGACGGGAAAAGGGCTAAAGGCATGAAACCGGTCTCTCCCCAGATGGCGTATTCGAGTGTTGCGATCGCGAATAGAGTTCTCTTAAACACAACGTATCGTAAGTTCTTTAACTTAATATTATAAACATAAAAAGAACATAAAATATAATTGCCAGATTAATGTGTCCAGCATATCGTAGAGGTTTGTTAATCAGGAGAATTCTTTCCGGCAGTAGCATTTTTCATAACAAAATGACGTCCGTGACATAGACATTGTACTCTGCATTCCGATGTGAAAGTGAAGACGACAAAATTACGAACAAGATATTACTTTGTTAAGGATAAAACAGGTACGAGTAATTTTGAATTTTGGCTGCTTCTGTTATATCTTTTTTTACGAAGTCTCCATTTATGTAGAGTTTATACGTTTGATCTGAATTAAGTTTAAGAAAGAAAATTAACTCGAGATTTAGAATAAGTAGAAGCTGAGGGCTTATGAAGTGAATTTAGTTAATAAACTGACTAAATATTATTTACATTAAGAATATGGATGCTCTTAAAGTGAAAAGAAAGTCATTAAGAACAACTTTTACGACCACGTCGAATAAGTTGGCGCAATATTAGGCGACACAGGAAACTGTTGCCAAGGATATTAATCAGTTGCACGCACTAAGGTCTCAATTGCAAGATAAATTTTCTCGTTTGAATGAAACTCAAAATGAAATATCCTCAGTACTTTTAGAAAAACCTGAGACCGTTGCTGAATACGAAACTGATTTTGAAGCAGCGGAAAATTACAGAGATAATTATCTTGAACTAGATTATCTTGAACTAGAGATAATTATCTTGAACTCGCAACTTTTTTAAATAAGGACTCCGGTTCCATCGCCAAAAGTTCTTTAGAGGATAATGCCGTGAAACTAAAACTACCGAAATTTGAATTGAAGACATTCTCTGGTGACCCTAAAGAATATCTCACATTCTGGAGTATATTTTCAAAAATTCATGAATCCGAAGATTTATCTGCGATCGACAAGTTCCAATATTTATACCAATCTATGGTACCCGAATCCAGGGCAGCAAGATTAGTTTCCAGTTTCCCAATAACAGCAGAGAATTATCCGAAGGCCATTAAACAATTAAAATTAAGGTTTGGCAGAGAAGATCTATTAGTACAAATATACATTCGAGATCTCCTTTCTCTTGTTATGAAAAATGCTACTGCCGGAAAGAATTCTCCTGATTTAGCAACCCTCTACGATATGCTGGAAACAAAATTAAAAGCTTTGGAAAGTTTGGGAAGTACGAAAGAGAAATTTGCTGACTTTCTAGAGCCTCTTGTAGAGTCATGCTTACCTAAAAATGTTATGCGAGCCTGGGAACGGAGTAGAATTTCTGAAAATACTGATGATTGCTACTACACTGATCGCCAACATATCAGTAGGAAAAAACAATTGTATTTTCTGTGACTGTTCACATCCAAGTCAAGACTGTCAGAAAATAGCAGAAATGAGTTATGAGGACAGAAAATCGAGTTATACAAAAGAGATGCTGTCTTGTTTGCCTCAAATCTGGTCACATGGCAAAAAGATGTCACAGTATAATGTAAGATGCTTAGTTTGTAAACGGAGGCATTACACAATACTTTGCAAAGGAATCTACGCAAAGGAATTAATTCT